GATGTTTTAGGTGGGTGCTCGCAGTGAAACTCGCTCCACAGTCGCCCCGTGCTCCTGTGGGACGGCAGCAGGAGCCTAACCAGAGGCCCCACCTCAGCTCCACGGCAGGACAGACAGACCTCTGTCCGCCTCGCGCTTTGAACGGGTGCTCCTGTCCCGACAACGCACCTCATCCCCAGGGTGACAGCTACCCACCATCCTGAGACACTCATTTACGAACTCTTCTCTGTACAGAATCGTTCAATTTGCTGATAGACGGCAAATGGTGCTAAAAAATAAATTCCCTGCTGCCTGCTAACAGAAATCGGTGATGCCTGAGGTCATTTCAGAAACTGTAACAGTTTCTCTTAGGAATGATTAGTTGAAAAACCCCTACTAAAGAGGCAGTAAGTGCTATTACTAAATTCATTCTGTTGTCATCATTAGGGGAGTCAACTTTCCTGTTCTGTGCTAATTAGATCAGTTAGCAGAAGCTCAGAAAGAGGAACATTAACCAAAGTGTATCAGGAGCATCCCAGGGACAGACGGAGACAGCCAGAAGGGACTTCTGAGTGCTCGTTGCCTATGAAATGTTGGAAACCCCTTAAACCAGTCGTTCAAGCTAGGTCAAGATACATGGGCTTAATCCTTCCCAATCCCTCTAGCAAAGTACAAAGCACTTTGCCAGGGAGCTTTCAACTGAGGCCAAATCAGCAAGTCAGTCTGTTTTGCTAATGCGGGAACGCTGATCTTCTGTACCTCCTGGCAGAAGGTACGGCTTCCACTCGCATGTGATTCTGCTCCCCGCTCAAAGCCAGCGTATTTAAGTCTTGATAAACATGAAATTCAGATTCTCTGACTGTTTTCTGTTAACAGGTGCCATGGGTAAAAAAATATCTTGATGGGCCAGTATCAACCAATTTATGGTGTAAAAAGTGATGTCCTCTGGGACAAAATACCTTCTTCTGTCCTGTAATGACACCTGCCAGAGTAAGCCCATCCCTGGTTCACACCTTCAGTGATTACCACTACCTGAAGTTTGTAAACCTACCAAAAATCTCATTGTCTATCCTAGATTAAATCTAGAATTAAGTACTATAAACACAGTGCACTTAATATGATTGACTGTCTTGCACCACACGCCTCGGAGACAAAAATCAGAGACAGATGACCCATAGTCCTCTTCCTCAGAGGAAAGACCCCTCTCCTCTACCAGCCAGAGGATACTTCCCAAGAAGGCTCCAGAAGAAAAGATCAGACTCTACCTGCAAAATCTCCTCTGTCTTACCTAGAAATAGAAGACTGAAAAGGACCGAGACGTCCATTTCCTTTCACAGAAGTCATAACCGTTATGGACTGAGGTCAGACTCTGTGCGGAGAACGTGCATGATGGGACACAAGTACGTGCCACAGCACTGACATGACCTGCATGCATCGGCCTCGCAAAGCAACTGCACTGCAAGGCTCCACGCTCCCACGTGTAACTGTTACTGCAGACCCCCCAGGCCAGAGGAAGGGGGACACACAAAGCCTGACCACCTGTATTTTTCCTGCCCAGTGACAAAGCTGGGAGCTCAGTATTGCATCGCGCAGACACCTCCACAAAGATGCAGAGATCTCTAATGTGCATTTAACAGCTTCTAATGGACGTGCTCTACGAGGGGTGAAAGCACTCTTCAGAGCAGCAAAGCAAACACCACTGATGAAAGCATATACCATCATTACTGGACTTATTTCCAGTATTCAGCTGTGAAAAGCGATCTCCAGAGTTAAACGAGTGGCCCACACAAGACACCCCTCAAAAAAAAGGAATCTTTAACTAGAGTGGGATCAGCACAGTGACTATCCCCATGTTATCACACAGTCCCAGCAGAGCAGAACAGGCAGCACGCTAAACCAAGCAATGACCGTTACCCCCTAGCAGGGCCTTTTCATCGTGGTCAAGAACTGTACTGATCCTAAAGGTACCATAAGTTGCACACTGTGAGCTGAACCAAGTGCCCTCTGTGTATCTGGTGAATGTCAAGTCATCGAAACATTTTTGTTTTCTCTCCAATGGAGCTGGTTTGAAGACAGGAGCCAAATTCAAGCAGTTTGTTTTTATTCTGTAGTTCTACAGAATAGTCCTCTCACCCGGGTAGTCATAGCACACATGGAAAACAATTTTCAGTCACTCAGAACATGGCCTTTGTGGTTGGTTTCTACGTTTTTTTTTAAACCTGTAGAAAGTAAACAATCATATTAGGGAAAAATTAAAAGGGATTAATTTGGCTGATCATGTTTCTACCAAATGACAGGAGTCAAAAACTTTTGCTTCAAAGTATCCATCCACAAATACTTCCTCAACAACTGTGCAAGGGCATTGAGGAGATCCACCTGCAGAAGAGCTGAGTACTTACCAAGTGAGGCCCCCGCCTTTGCCACGTGTATCAAAGACCATCTTGAACATATATTGACAATCGCCTACTATTACAGTAGTTGGCAGGATGAATTTAAATATTTCAACTTCCCAAATCAAGAAATGAAATTAATCTAAAAATATTTTAATGTAGCAAGTCTGGCTATAGAACCAGTGCAACATAAAGAGGACACCCATTGTATAACCAACTTTACTGCTTAATCTTAACAGAGTAAGCTACAGATGCAACGGATTTACCACGAGTTATTTGGTTAAAATAAATACTGCAGTTAAGATCATGCTGTTGGTAATTGTGGCTTTATAGTACCAATGCTCAAGTTGGCATCAAGTTAGTTTTACTGTAAGTAAAATGCAAGTTTACAAAGAAACAAAATAATTTAGTATAGTATGCTGTTTCATGCTTGGTCACAACGATAACGTCCTCGACAGATAAACAGTATTTCAGCACCACGTTAATAATGCCAAAACGTACAGGAATTTTAATGCCAGGTTTACATCATAATACAGTGCTTAACAAACAGATGTCTCAGGTATGGTGGCCAAGTGAGAATGCTACACAGGACTGAGAAGCATCCAAGCACTACCCAGTGCATACAAAGGGAACCACGCTGACAGGAATGCTTTACCTTTTGACAGAATTATTGACCTAGAAGTTTGTGTCCCAAACATAACGCAACATAAAATGAATGTTGAACCCTTGGCTCAAACATGAAGCAAAACATCTACCTGTTATTTACAAACCTGAACCAGTAAAACCACTTTAAGAACCGAAAAAAAATGTGATCACTTGACAGAGATGACAGAGCTTGACTACTCTATTATGTGAACCAGAACAGTAATGAAGTTGTAAACAAATATTAACCGAATTAAGTTAACGCATCTATCCTTAATGCAAGAATATTGTCATTTCAGCAGTCATTTTTAAAGCTAAGGACACTATCCAAAGTTGTATTTTTATTTAAAGTCAAAAGTGATACAAAACTGGAAGCTGGCAAATCCTTTTTGTTCCCTATTTGCCTCCATTCACTTCTCCACTGCATTCCTCAGCAAAATTTTCAAAACCCCTGTTTTTGTCTAATTCTGCTTCAACTTCAGTAGCTGGTAGCAAAGCTGAAGCACTTGAAAATCCCTGCTCAGAGTGGTTTGGTTTTCCACTGCTGGGGACAAGATTAGACTGCTGGCATTGGTCTGCATAGAAAACAATAACACTAAAGCATTCATTTCTAATTTTAAAAGAAAAAACTTCCTCAAAATTAAATAGGCTTTGCAATATCCGAAGAAATATATAGGTAAATCAGATCTGAATCTGTCAAATCACAGTAGTGCCCTCCTCATTCTTCCTCCCCCCAACCCTCCTAACTAACAGCGCTGCCAAAGAGGCAGATGTGACACTGACAATTAAATTCATTGACATGAAGTCTGGCTACAAAACAAAAAGAAACTTTGTCCCTGCCGCATCTATTTTTTTATCTTTTTCCTGCATTTTATAATGAACTCATGCAAGCAGAAAGGGGGTTGTGTTGGGGTTTTGTGTGTTTTGTTTTTTTTTTTAAACAGGCATAAGAGCTGTGCAAGACAAAACTGAACAAACTTTTGTTTCACTTCAGAAAGATTTTATATTACCAACTCATTTCTCTTCACAACTAAAGGTGATTAAAAAATAAATCCATAGTAATAAAAAAAACCCTGTAATCAGACTGCTTTTCAAGTATGTTTCTCCCCTCGTGAAAGAATTGCATTAGCCGTACTACCAATTAAAACCCACGTCACAATCGTTAGGATTCGTACTGTAGATCCACATCTCCTGGAACTGGGCTCAGCTGGATTCCCAGTTGAGTTTACGCAAGACTGGAAGCGGGAGGCCGATGGGCACACTCGCATGCATTACACCACTCCTCAGCTCCCTGATTCTGACCACATCCGCTGTCACACCCCCATCACATCCCCGAAACAGGAGAAACAGCACAGGAGCCACCAAGTGACCTGGGACAGGTACCATTCTTCGCTGATCAACCAGGCGCCAATCTGGTTTGTGCTGATGGAGATGCACTTTGCAGACCTACCAGACTGCAGAAGTTTACCCACAATGTTTCTACATAGCACAGCATAAAACACATCTTATTATTTCATTCAGTCCGGAATTCACATCTCCATCTATTGCAATTATGGAAGCCAATGAAAAGTCAATGAGAGGGGTTCTACAAGAGTTGGTCCCAGCATTAAACATTAATACATATGAAAAATAAAAGGGGACAAACTTCCAAGTCACTGTTAGTGATGGTGACAGGTTCAACTTCTCTTCCTTCTGAAGTTCACCTCCCATTAATGCAAGAGAAAAGTGCAACTTTGCAGCATGTTTGTTCACATCAAGTTTTTCCTCAAGAACACATTTTGCGGTAACAAAATATGGTCTATAAAATTGCAAAGTGCACAAGCTGAAGGCACAGAGTACAAACACATAGGAAAACAGATTTCAAAATACCAAGTAACCAAAAAGAAGAGATAAAAGAAAAATCTGGAATTTAAAACTCCCTGACAGAAGATACATTTATATGGGACCAACTCTTAAAAGGTGACAATTTTTCAACTAATGAACAAATACTGCAAAATAATGAAACTTTATTCTTATTATTTAAGTAAAAGCTCCAGAAAATACCTTGAAGTTTAAAAACTAATACACTGACGTGTTAACTAGTTTTAAGAATGTCCTTAATATTAAGAAAAGAGTGCAAAAAAGATTCTTCCATTCTAACGCTTTTGGAAGCTGCTGATTTCGGCTGCCCATTTCCACTTTGAAAGGATTGTTTTTCAAGGTGCATTCCTCACAAAAATTGCAGAACGTGAACTTGTTGAGAGGCTAGACCAAGGGATCATGTCTTTCAAAGTCATCCCAATTGTAGCAGCAACTGACATTTTATTGTATGAAGAAGAAAGTCCAAAACTCTTCTTTGAGGCATAGTTCGTGTCAGAGCTTGAGTATCAGCAGTTGCCAAAGGAGGCTCCAGATACCACCTGTGCTCCTCCAGTGTCTGTTCTGGCTAGGAATAGAAGCCGATCCAGTATATTCACTATCTGTACCCCCTGGAACTTGCACAAGCTGATGAGCCATCTGAAATTATATGAAAAGTTCAAGAAATTCTCTCATATTAAACTTCCACCTTATGTCCTTTGCCCTCCTTCCCCCAACAACCCAAAAAGCAGCATTGCCTGCAAAACGTTCACAGTGTGAACTGAAGCTGATATACCAGGTAAACCTCCATTCACTCACTTCACACTGTAGCAAGAGTTCATCATAAAACTGTGTAAGGTTTTATGGTAGGAAATAAAGCAAACACACTCAGCTGAAAACACAGGAGGAAACTTGGTGGAAAGAATGAAATAAAATGAAGTTAACAACAGTATCAGAACAGATACTACTCCCCAATCCCTAAGGCTATTTAATGACAATCAGGACCTTGTACTCAAATCCTGCCCTAGAATGTATGAGACTACATTCCCTCCTGGCCAAATATTGGCTCAGCGCAAAAGATGGGACCTTTGACTCACTGCACTCAAATTAGGGCTGTACGGCAACCAACTGAGAATGGAAGTACCATTCCTCCCCGTGCTTCTTCTCCCCACCCATTAATCTATACTGGGGGAAATTAAGGGAGTAACAAAGTGAAAAACCTGCAGCAAGACACCTTATCTACAGCTGGAGGAGAACTTCCCTGCTGCATGACTCAGTCGTTTGTAGTGAAACACTGCCTTTAGTATCTCAATGAAGGGGAACCCGGGTTCTGTTAAGACATATAATTGAGGGTTCCAAGTTGAAAAGCACAACCCTTCCAAACCCTCTGTTCTGTCAACAGGCAGAAACACGCAGCACCAGTGGGTGATTTATATCAGAGGTTGACTGTGTCATCATTTCACTGCCTATTATATGTATCTTGACCAGGCAGAGACTTGGGACAGTTACACTCTTTGTCCTCAGGACCTCAGCTGTGTACTTCAACGAAGTGGTAGTATCTTGGCCTCGGTAGCTAGGGTATCTCACTACCTTACAGGTGGCTGTGGGACTTTCTCACAGCTAGCCAGGCTCTAGACCCCAGAAGTTTCTATCATTACTTAGAACGGTAAAGGTTACATTTGCAATGTGGAGGTGCAGCCTCTGACACCTCGCCACCCCCCCGAGAACCCAGAAGCCCACTGCTCCCTGCATGCCCAACCCATCGGGGACTCCAGCACACTGGAGGGCAGGGTTAGATGCTACTTACTGTAACTTAACTCTTCTCCAGCTCTCTTGCGTGACTGGTCACCTCTAGGAAAGAAGGCGAAGACAGGTATTTTCATTTTAAGAAAAGCATAACAATAGTGAAACACCCAAGCATAATCCACAATTCGTACAGATTTTAGAAACAAAATGCAAACGTAGTAGCAGTAACACATGACTGCAGGATTTTCAATTTACTAAAGCAGAAGCATAAGCTGTATTTTATAGATTTAATTAGCTCATCCTTTTGTTAGAGATAGTAGGTTTGATTTTATAGGATAATTTTTTACAAAATGAAGATGAGCAAAAATTACTCCTATGCAGTGTGGTCTTCAGTCATGCGTAAAAATGTTTTCCTTAATTCCAACTTCCCAATCAAACTTTATAGAACTACAGGAAAAACTCTGCATGTATCAGTATAAAAAGGCAAGATGCTCCTGAAAACCCAACAATCGGACTCTAAGCAAGTCTGTGCTGACAGCACTCCCTCTTCAAGCAGAAGATTTAAATAAATAACTAAAGATGTATAAACACCAGTTGACATCACTGGTCCTGAATACCCAAGGCCAAACTCCCATCTATTTGGCAAAACATTTTTTCCTTTTATTCTTGTGCACACAAACTCTTAAAGCTGGAAAATCTCACTGCTTCTTCTGATGACAGATATGCTGTTGAAACTGCTATATAAGGAACAGAGGTTCCAATATATTTTTATCACAATAGCTTTAATTTCACAATTATCTCGTGGAATTTGGTAGAAACTGGGGTTTTTTTCTTATAATATAAAGTATTCTTCCCTGAAACCACTCTTCAGGTGATGGACCTGCTGTGTGTGCCTTGATTAAGGTCTTTCACAAGAGATATACCGCCAGGCAACCAGCTTGTTTCTGCAGCAACAGTATTTATGACTATTTCAACTAGAACCTGACATGCCATTAATGCTGACGAAGCCACCTCACTGTGCTGTGTTCCTCACGGTTACTGTGGTAGGAAGTGCAGCAGCAACGACATCCCTATTTTTGGGCACAATTATAGGAGAACAGATGACACTTCATGCTAACCCAGAAGAGAAACAGAACATGAAGAGAAGAGAACATGAAATGATAGAGTTCAAGGTGAAGTAAAGAGGGGGGCCAGTAAAACCACCACCATGGAATTTTGGAGGGCAGACTTTGGCCTGTTCAGGACGTTGGTTACGAGGGCTCCCTGGGAGAGAGTCCCGAAGGGCAAAGCGGTCCAGGAAGGCTGGACTTTCTTCAAGGAGGCAGTCTTAAAGACACAGGAGCAGGCTGTCCCCATGTGCCGCAAGACAAACTGGCAGGGAAGATGACAGGCCTGGCTGAACAGGGAGCTCTTGCTGGGACTCAGGAGAAAAGGAGGCTCTACCACTTATGGAAGAAAGGGCAGGCGACTCAAGAGGAGTACAGGGGTCTCATTAGGACTTCAGGCTGGCCACTGTTGTAAGGGACAATAAAAAATGTTTTTACAAATACATCAACAACCAAAAGAGGGCCAAGGAGAATCTCCATCCCTTACTGGATGCGGGGGGGAATATTGCCAACAAGGATGAGGAAAACGGATTGGTACTTAGTGCCTTCTTTGCCTCAATCTTTAATAGACAGATTGGTTATTTCCAGGGTAGTCAGCCCCCCGTGCTGGAAGATAGGGAAGGAGAGCAGAATAAACCTCCCATAATCCAGGAGGAAGCAGTTAATGACCTGCTATGCCACCTGGACACTTACAGGTCTATGGGGCCAGATGGGATCCACCCAAGAGTGCTGAGGGAACTGGCAGAGAAGCTGGCCAAGCCACTCTCCATCATCTATCAGCAGTCCTGGCTAACAGGGAAGGTCCCAGATGACTGGAGGATTGCCAATGTAACACCCATCTACCAGAAGGCCAGAAGGAGGATCCAGGGAACTACAGGTCTGTCAGCCTGACTTCAGTGCCGGGCAAGATTATGGAGCAATTCATCCCGAGTGTGCTCACTGGGCATGTGAAGGACAACCAGGGGATCAGGCCCAGACAGCATGCATTAGAACTTGCTGAATTGCTGAGTGCAGAGAGTGGTGGTGAATGGAGTTAAATCCAGCTGGCGGCCGGTAATGAGTAGTGTCCCTCAGGGCTCAGTTTTGGGTAGGGTCTTGTTTAACATTTTTATTAATGCTTGGGATGAGGGGATCAGGTGCGCCTTCAGCAAGTTTGCAGATGACACCAAACTGGGTGAGAGTGTTGATATGCTTGAGGGTAGGAAGTCTCTGTAAACTGAGCCGGACAGACTGGATCGATGGGCCAAGGCCAGCTGTATGAGTTTCAACAAGGACAAGTGCCAGGTCCTGCTCTTGGGTCACAACCACCCCATGCAACGCTACAGGCTTGGGGAGGAGAGGCTGGAAAGCTGGTAGGCGGTAAAGGACCTTGGGGTGTTGGTCGACAGCTGGCTGAACATGAGCCAGCATTGTGCCCAGGTGGCCAAGAAGGCCAACAGCATCCTGGCTTGTGTCAGGAATGGTGTGGCCAGCAGGAGCAGGGAGGTGATCGTGCCCCTGTACTCGGCACTGGTGAGTA